CCCCCCCCCCACCCATTCCATTCCCTCCCATGAGGTCCCTCAGCCATCTTCCTCTCTCCTCACCCACATGGCTTTTCCCACTTTCCCTCTCCCTCCCTACCCAGCCTTTGGTTTAACGTCAGCCGCCACTTCTTGAGGTTTCAGCCAAACCCTTTCCCTTCCCAATGAGGTCGTATTCCATCCTTTACAGGTTGCATGCCTACAAGACTATCGATTCCTCTCACCTCTGCCTCAAGTCTCCACCTTCCCAAATCCTCGTTCTGTCGCCTTCACTTAAGAGGGACTGATCTCCTGACCACATATGTGAAACCTTTTCCCCTTGTGGCTGTCCGGCAGTCTCCCATCGACTTCGCATTTCTTGCACCGCCTCATTTCGGCTCCAGTTTCGCTGTTCACACATGCTGACCTCCTTGGCTCATTCCCAAGTCTTCTCCCGATTGCCTGCTCCACGACATCTGCTCACACCCCTTACCTGGACCATTTTCCTCCTCTCTGTTGATGTTAGCTTCCTACCTACTTGAGTCAGGCGAAAAGTGGATCAGAGTGGGATCGACGATGAACTCTGCATCACGCCATTACTGTGTGCTCTAAACCATGTCCTCAAGACCTTGGTTCCCTGCTCCTTGCACCCACCTCTCATGGAGAATGTGAACCTCGTTACCTGACCACTAGCCAGAGCAATTGCCAGAGCAACATATGATACCACATGATGAGAATAATTCTGGCGTACAAGGCCTATCCTGCCTTGTAGGAGATCAGAGGAAAATCCCTACTAAGCTGAAGCTTGATCATACCGCCAGCCATCTTCCCATTGCTGCACCATCCAGGACCGAACAACCATCTCTCCCGCCCTCGTCCTCCTCTCTCTCTTCTCATGCACAAAGGTCGTGGCAACACCCAGCTTCTCCCATCAAGGTCGTCCCACTTTCCACAATTTTAACCTGGCGTGTGCAGGGGCATTAGAAATTCCATCCCTGCTTTAACAAATATGCTGTGCCTCTCACCGGCAGTAAATAGTGCGATCAATCTGAGGTGGGATAGGCTTGATCTCAGTCCCAAGCTCCTGCTCAATCCTGTACCTGTACAGACAAAACACCAGTCATTTCAGATTGCTTCCCTCACAACGCTGTACCTGGCAGGGACAATTCAGTTGCCTCAAGGCTCAAACTCATAGATATTCGATAAGAAAACACAGCTACTATTACTTCATCTGCATTCAGCAAGGGGAGCACACAATAGTCAGTTTTTCAGATGCTATGAATCTCAGTCACGAGCTCCGGCTCAATCCTGTGTTTGTACAAAAAAAAAAAAAAAACATTCTGATATCTTCCCATGCAATGCTGTGTTCTGCAAAGCAATTTAGTGGCCTCATCAGAAGGAAGCTAGCGGAAGACCAAACCTGCAAACATACATCTCCTATGGTTACCAATTTTATCTCCAAACCACTAGTTACCTTTGCCACGTGGGAATATAAGGGCCTCAGGGCCTCCGACCTTTTCGGGTTCCCGAAACGACGGCCTCCGATCAGATTTATCAATGGTAGCCGTCATCGGGCCCGGCCTCCGAGTTTTCAGTAGTTTGGGAAAACGTCCACTTTTCCCTAATTTCCCAACACTGGCGGAGGTACAAGGGCATTAAACAAGGCGAACACACAACCGTAAATATTTGAGATTATGACAAACAGAGGTGAAATATCCACCCTTAATAGATCTTAACACAAAGGATTGCCCAACAGTTGAGAGGTTGTTAAACCACCAGCGTGAGGACCCCTCCTTCAAACTTCTTGATGTTCACACTCAGGCCGCGCATTTGATGTACAGCCCTGCCACAGACCATTACAACAGCTCCTTGCCTGCTGGGGCGATACATCAGTCTCACATGCACGCTTCAGTCTCAGAGCGTGAAACAGTTCAAGGCAGGGAGGCATGCACCACTCCCTCAGGGTGTGCATCAGTCCCACACGCCTATGGCAGATGGAGGAAGTTAGACTGTGTCTATGACGGGAGAAACCCCAGCACAGAGTGTGGGAGACTTGGCCACAAAGGTGCAGAGAAAGATGACATCGAGGACAGTCCACACTGTCAAGACACATCTATGCCATCTTCCCAACATTGCACACATACCACGTTGGTAGTGCTGAACCTTGTGAAAGCACAGACTGAGAAAATCACGATATAAGACAGCATATATATAATTTCGTCAAACAGAACTGCCCAGTAAATCGTAGACGGATGAGGGGCACACTGAAACCATTCATTCTTCTTTTAACTCCCCCTTCACCGTGCCTCTCACGTACAAGGCTCGTCACATTGATGAAGAGAGTGCAAGCTGCTTGCATCCCTATGTGCCATAACGGCCCACTTGTACGCTGTGGGAAAGAGGTAGGGTAAGGCTGATAAACACAGGGAAGAGAGATGAAGAGAAGACAGAGATAGGGAAAAAGGGGAAAGGGAAAGTATGGAGCATGGAACGAGGCAAAGGAGAGGGTAAGAAAAGCCACAAGAATGACTCTGTCGTTGACGACAGAGAGGACACACATTGTACAGATGAGGCGGATGGGCACATGGAAGACCTACCTGAGCATATGGAAAGGTCCATTTGTAGATGTTCATACATATATATCGTCACATGAATATCAGAGCGCAAAGGCAAAAAAAACAGAAGAAAACAAGAAAAAAATAATTCGTTTTTTTTATCATCTTTCTTACAACTCCCCATGTTCAGAACCTCGTGCGTACAAGGCCGCCCACGTGGATGTAGGTTGATCAGCGGCTGCCCCCCCCCCCAACACAGCCAATGGGCAAAACATACATATATATATATAGTCGAACAGAGCTGCCCGGTTCTCATTCTTCTTTTAACTCCCCCTACACTGTGCCTCTCACATACAAAGGCTCGCCGCATTGATGGAGTTCAGCATGAGTTGGCCCCAGCAAGCGCAATACAGCCTCATACTCAGATTTCAGAAAGAAAACGGCAGAAACCCCTGTGCTAGATATATACAGACCAAAAAAATTATCGGCAGATTCGGGCGGCACTCAGCAAGCGCAGTACATCCTCATACTCAGAGTTCAGAAAAAAAAAAACGGCAGAGGCCGACCACAGACTGCTCAGCTGCCACTCAGTCGGCGGTCGGCGTCAGCGGTCAGTGGGGGTACCAACATCATTCTTCTAAGAAGTTGCACACTGACCAACCCATTTAATGGTGAGATCTCAGACTGACAAGGACGAGCAGTACATCACAGCAAGCCAACAGAACCAGGACTCCTCAGAAGCGTACCACATTCACACAGTAGCAATACAAATTAAAATATGTTGTGAATTCCCCAACCAGACAAACAGGAGGAGAAAAGTAACGAGAACACCTGTGAGTGCTTCATGTTCTTCAAGACCATGTTTGAAAAACTCGACTCAATGCACTATGGGGTGCTTTCTGTTCTTCGCGATCCACGGTTAACAAAATCATACAACAAAAGCCATGCACGTGGAAATCAATCTCCAGTAAAGCCCACTTACAAGTTGAAACGATCTTCGTAAGTAATCAGGTTAACTGCGAGTCCCAAGTGCCCAAAACGCCCTGACCTTCCCACCTGCAATTGGACATAGAAGATGATCAGTGTCACTAGCTGCATAGAAAATATACCCCCTCATACAATTGTTACCACAGGCAATAGGCACATGGTTTTCAGCCCTGTCAATCACGTAATCTCTCATCAAGGTCGGTATTTCAACGCTCAATGGCCTCGCCGCCCCTTGCAATCAGGCCTGAAGCGCAACTCCCAGACGCAGCCATGTGTAGTAACTGCATAGTCGAAGGTTCTCTTACAGTGCAGCACTTATAGTCAAGCTCCGTCGACAAACACCAGTGCTACCTTCTTCACCCGAATAGAACGCCCAGCCATAATCACTGCATCTGGGCTGAAAGTTGCCCTAAATGCAGGAATGTTCTGTTCGGGTGAAGATGGTAGGAACAGAAAGCCACACCAAGACGGTACGAACAGAAAACCACAACAAGACTGCAAACAGAAAGCCACACCAGAACGGAGGAAAGAANCAAGACTGCAAACAGAAAGCCACACCAGAACGGAGGAAAGAACGCCCGTACATTGTCACACAGTTGTACATGTTTCTTTTTTTTTTGTTTTTTTTTCGGGGGCGGGGGGCAGGGAGGAAGATTCCCTACACTTGTGATCTGCCTTTTTCAATTTGCCCTTGTAGTTTTTCTTCTAATTTCTTTTCTGTTTGTTCCAAGTGCCTGATTCCCCACGTCGATCTTCTTTTTTCAAACTTTTCCTTGTTTTTCTTCTGGCCAATTCCCCACATTCGTGTGATCGCCTGACAGGTGGGCACACACTCCCATCCGATAGAGACCACTCGCAACCTGCAGAGTCAATCGAGCATGACAAGTGAGATACTTACAACAGTCGCATGAATCCCGGCATCCGACATACCAGAACACCAACACAAGTGGTGAATCACACGACCACCTCCGCCTACAAATCATTCTTGAACTCGAAGTGGACTTGCTCCATCAGTGGGAAGCGGGTGCATACAATGGCAAAGGGAGCAACAGTCCTCATTACGTACGACTCAAGATGCCAATACAGGACCAGAACTGCACCTGTTTAACGCATCAGCGATTCCCACAGAACATTTGCGCATACCTCTGCTCTTCCACAGACATCCCTGTTCTGCAACAGAGGTAAAGAAATTATCTGTAACATGGATGAGCAGGCCAACTGTCTTGTCAGACAGGAGATCTGTGCCATTTCAGAACAAACCATCTTCATGATTAAGAGCAGAAATCACAGCACCATTGCCCCACAGTTCCCAGTGGTCGGAGGCAGGAATGGCTGGCCATTAGTGGTGATGTCCATTGTCGCACTGCAGACGCAACAGGCTCCTGGTCAAGGTGTGTCCTGCAGCTGCAACCTGCAGGATCTACCTCGCCTCCTTCGACAGTTTAAGTCTGCTTGATTACCTAGAAATCGGGATATCATTGCCCTGGAAATCGGATATCATCCCACGCAGGCTACGTGAATGAGCACAGCGAGGCAATCCAGCAGCCAGACAGCCGAGGCCATACTGCCTTGGCAAATTTGTTTGCAGGTCAGGTGCATTCCAGAGACACGACGGCGATGCTCAAGGTGCTCCATTGTCGCAACCTCCACAAACTCAATGGTAAAGCCCCACCTGATGACTTCTTTTTGTCTCTATGTTGCAGAGATTACGAAACTGATACGATCACGAAGTCGACTGCCCGGATGTCGGACATCATATACTGCCGGAACGAAGATGGGCCTCAGGAGCAGCCGGACTACAGATGGGAGACCGTCTCTGCGATTGCGGTTATGCAACTTTTAAGCACTATCGTGCTCAATTTCCGTATCCAACTCGCAAATTTCAGTCGACCCATCTTTGCACAATAAATATCATGTCCCACTAGATGACCTTCTGCAGCTTCGCTCGCAAAAGCAAATGCAGGTGATGCACGACGTTGAGAGGCAACTGACCGATGGAAACTCTCTCTCTCTCTCTCACACACACACACACACACAAACACACACACACACACACACACACACACACACACACACACACACACAGAAACCGCAAAAACATGCGCCACGTGGCAAACCCATGTGGTGGCATTTCGCATCTTTAGCAACCCCCCCCGGCCCCCCGGCTTTCCCCCTGACTTTTCCTCTGCACCCTTCTTTCCCTCTATGTTTTCCCCTCCTCTGCTCATCTTTACCCTCTCCCCCTCCTCCATCTCCTCCATCTCTTTCCCCCTCCCTACCCTCCCTCCTTTTCGGCTTTCACCTCCCTGTATCTTCCTACTGTTACTTTTCCTCCTCTTCCTCCTC